AGAGGCTCCGGTCTCTTACATGATTTGTCAGGGCTGGGCTCCTGCCCACGTACCAGGAAGGATAGGGTAAGTTGAGCAGGACTGGCAGAGAGAAGGACAAGCACAGAGAGCAAAGGGCCTGAATGTACAGAAACATACTATTGCATTGGCAGAAATTGTCCAAATCTCTGAGAGTATTACAACTGAAAGTCCCATTTTTTACTATGACCAGACTTGATTGTAATAAAAGATAAGGTGTTTTGGCTTTATGGGGGGAAAAAAAAGTTCAGGGACAATTCCAAGGCCCTGACTTCAAACCCCATGACTGACCAAAAAAAAATAAACTGAGGGAGACCTTCATCCAGCATACAAGACTTTCAACCAAACAACCAGACTCAACTAATTAACCAACTATAACAATGGAGGCCAATTACCTAATCCTTGTAGCTTCAGTTCCATCGTCTATAATATGTAGATATATACTATGTGTGTTGTTGATATTTTAACAATTAAGAGTAACATTATAAGCCAGGTGCTGGTGGCTCACACCGTAATCCTATGTAGGAGGCTGAGATCTGAGGATCACAGTTCAAAGCCAGCCCAGGCAGTAAAGTCCTTGAGCCTCTTTATCTCCAGTTGACCATCAGAAAACTGGAAATGTCACTGTGGCTCAAGTGGTAGAGTGCTCTCCTTGAGCTAAGAGCTCAGGGACAGTACCCAGGCCCAGAGTTCAAGCCCTATCAAAAACAAAAACAAACAAAAAAGAATAACATAATTTTATAATTCTTTACAATTTCTGAATTTCTTTGAGGTTCACTTAATATCTAACTATCTGTGTTGCAGAGTGCATTATCTGAATTCGATAGCTGAGGAAACAAAGCTAGCAAAGAATGTCTTCTTTTAGTGTGAGAACTAACTAATACGTTATAGTGGCAAAGAATGTGGGCTCAAGTAGATTTACTAGATTTTTAATCCCAGCTCCACGATTTACTAGCTCTGAAACTTAAAGAAAACTATTACAAATATCACTCTTTTGGCTGGGAAGGTAGCTCAGTAGTAGAGTGCTTGCCTTGCATGCATGAGGCCCTAGGTTCGATTCCTCAGCACCATATAAGCAGAAAAAGCTGGAAGTGGAGCTACGGCTCAAGTGGTAGAGCGCTAGCCTTGAGCTGAAGAGCTCAGGGACAGCGCCCAGGCCCAGAGTTCCAGCCCCAGGACCAACAAAAAAAACCAAAACACTCTTTTGTGTGTGTGTGCCATTTTTGGGCCTTGAACTCAGGGCTTGAGCACTGTCTCTGAGTTTTTGTACTCAAGGCTAGTACTCTACCACTTTGAGCTACAACCATACCAGCTTTTTGGTAGTTAATTGGAAATAAGAGGCTCACAGACTGTCTTGCACCAGCTAGCTTTGAACCCCAATCCTCAGATCTCAGCCTTTTGAGTAGCTAGGATAACAGGCATAAGCCACCAGTGCCCAACCAGATATTACTCTTGACAAAGGGATATATACCTTTTTTAGCCAGAATAAGGAAACAAACTTTGAGGTGAAGTGCATATTGGAAGGCTTTGGTTCCCTCATTGCATTATATATTATATATTAATGGGAGCAGGGAAGTTTTCAATTATGGTCTTACATAGACCACATAATCAAAATACACTCTTCTGTTTTAAATCTTGTACTTCTTTATAATTTTCTTCCAGATATTCATTTACATTCAATTTTAAAGTCACTAGACAAAATCATCTCTACTGTTACTTGTAACTGTGCCATCTTCGGATTTTATTTACCTCTAAATCCATTACCTGATTATTCTCCATCTTTCCTATCAAATATATCTGAACTCTCCCTTCTGAGCCCTGTATTTTTCTTGCCTCCTTATGATACACATATTTTTCAATATAAACAGTAAAGTTCATTTGTTTTTTACCTTATTTGATAAGTGTTTGCTCAATGTATAATGAATCTAACCATGTAAATATTAAAATTACAGTGACCTGTTTCCAGAGGCACTTACCTATCTTCAGACATATCACTTCAGTTATCACTTCCTATTTATTCATTCCCACAGTACTAAGCAATACAAATTGATGGTCTATTAAGACACCTTCATTTAAGAGACTTTTTTTTTAAAAGGGCACAAAACAAAGAAATTAAGAAAAAACAGTAAGAAAAAGGAAATGGTTAATACTTGTAATATGCCATATATAAACTTAAACGCGTGCAAAAAATACAACTTACCCTAATACAGCTGAAGCAACAAAGCTTGGAACAATGAGGACACAAGCGAGCATCCCGCAATTTCTCCATGCAAATAAAACATCGGAAAACCTCAGCAATGCTCTGAAAATAGTAAATGGATCTCAGATTAGACCACCAAGCAAGAATAAAAAGCATGCTAAAGCTCGGTGCCAGAGGTTCACGCCTAATCGTAATTACTCAGGAAGCTGAGATCTAGGGGAGCCAACCCAGGCAGAAAAATCCTTGAGATTCTTTTTAAGGAAGCTGGTGGCTCACGCCTGTAATCCTAGCTACTCAGGAGGCTGAGATCTAAGGATCACAGTTCAAAGCCAGCCCAGGCAAGAAAGTCCATGAGACTCTTATCTCCAATGAGCCACCAGAAAACCGAAAGTGGTGCTGTGGCTTAAGTGGTAGAGCAGTTGCCTTGAGCTGAAGAGCTGAAGGACAGTGCCCAGGCCCAGAGTGCAAGCCTCACCACTGCCAAAAAAAAAGAAAAAAAAAGAAAAACTGGACAATACCTAAAAATGTACTATTATATGTTTTAAGTTTATTTTTACTGTACTTCATTCCAGAAGGAAACCCTCCTAAAACCAGGGAAACCTTACAAAACCTTTGTAATACTTCCACAGGAGGAAGTGAGAAATTTACTCATGACTATAGGGAGGGCCAGAATCTGTGAGATGGAGGATGGACAATAAGACCTTTTTTTTCTTGAAGGGGGAAGGAGCAGTTCTGGGGCTTGAACTCAGGGCCTCAGCACTGTCCCTGAGCTTCTTTTGCTCAAGGCTAGCACTCTGTCACTTGAGCCACAGCACCACTTCCGGCTTTTTGTGGTACTTGGGAATCGAACTGAGGAATCATGCATGCTAGGCATGCACTTTATCACTAAGCCACATTCCCAGCCCACAATAAGACCTTTGAATTAGCTAGTTTCAAGTACAATGCTCTTTTAGACTAAATTCTTAGTTCAAAAGCAAGATTTTATGCTGGGAAGGTGGTTCAATGGTAGAGTGCTTGCCTTGCATGCATGAGGCCCTGGATTCAATTCCTCAGTACCACATAAGCAGAAAAAGCCCAAAGTGGCGCTGTTGCTCAAGTGGTAGAGTGTTAGCCTTGAGCTGAAGAGCTGAGGGACAGCACCCAGGCCCAAATTTCAGGCCCCACAACTGACAAAAAAAAAAATTAATAATAATAATAAATAA